TCCCAAGCTACAAAAATATGCTTTCCCTTTGACTTCTTTGGTTGAACCCTCACAAATTTTCAGCTCCTTATGTAAAATTTTAAGCCTCTTGTTTGTTACAGTAGCAACGAATAAGTGTCGTTTAGCAGCAACCTGTGTATAAAGTCTTTGCTTGTGGATATGACCAAAGAACCTGCTTGTATCCTTGAACAAATAACAGCAAGATCCCAAGCAACAAAAATCTACTTTCCCTTTGACTTCTTTGGCTAAACCCTCACAATTGTTTTAAAAATCTAATAATCTAATCCAGGCCTGCCCCCTCATGATTCGTGCAAGTGAATTTTAATTGCACGAATTACGAAGTTTTTTTTTCCCAATTATTTCATGTCTTTTTCCCTCTTTTGCAGGCAACACATAAGGCGTCAGAGTTTGTTTGTAGGTATCATTGCCCCTTCCAGCCTAATGGCAATGAGTAGCTTGAATCCTTAACAGTGATTGTGTCCTTCCACCCGAATGGCTTAATTCCTTGGTAGTGATTATGTCCTTTCACCCCAATGGCTTGATCCCTTGACAGTGAATGTGTCCTTGACTCCAATGGCTTGATTCCTTGGCAGTGATTGTGTCTTTCACCCTAATGGCTTGATTCCTTGGTAGTGACTATGTCCCTCATCCCAATGGCTTGATTCCTTGGCAGTGATTGTGTCCCTCACCCCAATGGCTTGATTCCTTGGCAGTGAATGTGTCTGTCACCCCCAATGGTTTGATTCCTTGGCAGTGAATGTATCCGTCACCCCAACGGCTTCATTCCTTGGCAGTGATTGTGTCTTTCACCCCAATGGCTTGATTCCTTGGCAGTGATTGTGTCCCTTACCCCAATGGCTTGATTCCTTGGCAACAAATTTGTCTGTCACCCCAACGGGCTTGATTCCTTGGCAGTGAATGTGTCCGTCACCCCAATGGCTTGATTCCTTGGCAGTGATTGTGTCCGTCACCCCAACGGCTTGATTTCTTGACAGTGAATGTGTTCACCCCAACGGCTTGATTCCTTGATAGTGAATGTATCTGTCACCCCAACGGCTTGATTCCTTAGCAGTGATTGTGCCCTTCAACCCAATGGCTTGGTTCCTTGGCAGTGATTATGTTCCTCAACCCAATGGCTTGATTCCTTGGCAGTGATTGTGTCCCTCACCCCAATAGCTTGATTCCTCGGCAGTGAATGTGTCATTCACCCCAACGTCTTGATTCCTTGGCAATGAATGTGCCCTTCACCCCAACGGCTTGATTCCTTAGCATGGGGCTTTCGTCAATTTCTTTATATTATGACATTTTGCCTTCACTGACCTCTTTTTTTTTAGGCAGCATGGAAAAGACACTTGAATATCTTCGACGTGACGAGAGGGATGTGTTGGATAAATCTGGTCCAAAAATAATTCGGCACAAACCTATCATTGCTTTATTGTCACCCACCGAGTTGGACCCCTACATCCCTTTACATACGGCTTCTGAAGACTTGGTCTATACAAGAATTCAAAATTGCTGTGAGATTCTCGAGAAAGGCTACTCCAAATCAATCGGTTCATTCCTTGTCTCAATCCTCCGTCCATTTTCTGAAGACCTTGACTGCCAAACATATGTCAAAGACCCATAGTAGACTTCACCTCCTTTTACGAGAAGGTGAAGATATTCCTTGGGTGCTTTGCTTTGAAAACCCAACTTGCAGATTCTTCAAACTTGTCTACTGCAGAATTTGAGGCCCAATACTATGAGAAAAAGCTTCATTTCGACAAAGTTTCTGGCGAACATGAACAGTTGTCTGCTTCAATTATCAAGTCGGATGAGCACATTGCGAGTCTTAATCAAAGGATTATTCAATCCAAAGAATTACTCAAACAACTTGAAAAGGAATTATCATCAACCCAAGCGGAACATGCATCCTTTATGTGTGAATTTACACAAGCTTCTGAGAGTGTTTCTAAATCAAAAGAAGATGTGCAAACTGCTCTAAATGTTTTGAGCCTGCATAAGAAGAAGAATGGACAACACAATGTTGTGGAACGTGCTTTTGAGAGGGCTAAGACTTCTCTTAGTGAATGAATGCACTTTTATTTTTTTATTCACCCGAACATAATGTATTTACGAAATTTCGCTCAGTGATAGATTTATTTGTTATATGAAATTTCTCAATATAATACATTGATTTCTCTTATTTTAGCCGTTCACGGCTTATACTATTGCGGGCCAGAAGTATCCAATGTTTTATCACCTTAGATTTCGGTGGGGTATTTTAGCAGCTTAACTACATACAATACCGCTGGCGGTCTTTGACTTATGTTTGGTCGTATACAATTTATACTCTTGCAGGCCAGGAGTATCCAATATTTTACCACCTTAGATTTTGGTGGGGTATTTTAGCAGTTTAACAACATACAATACCGTTGGTGGTTTTTTTTCTTTTTGCCCTAACTTTTGCCTAGGTTGCCCTTTCGCATTTTCAATAGCAGGCTTTCTTAAGGGTAATATCTCTTCAAGAACCTTGCATTGGTTGGGGGAATGATTCTGTCACCATCCATCATTATCAACAAATATGTCCCATCAGAATAAACCTTTTCAATCACATAAGGTTCTACCCATTTGGGCTCAAGCTTTCCTTTGGTTCTTCGTGAGACTACTATGGGTGTTCTAACCTGTTAGACTTATTTATTTTGATGATTTATTTAATTATGTTTTAACTTATTTGAAAGAGAAAAATAGAATCCAAATTTATTTTGATGATTTATTTAATTATATTTTAATTTTTTTTCTTTTTACCCTAACTTTTGCCTAGGTTGCCCTTTCGCATTTTCAATAGCAGGCTTTCTTAAGGGTAATATCTCTTCAAGAACCTTGCATTGGTTGGGGGAATGATTCTGTCACCATCCATCATTATCAACAAATATGTCCCATCAGAATAAACCTTCTCAATCACATAAGGTTCTACCCATTTGGGCTCAAGCTTTCCTTTGGTTCTTCATGAGACTACTATGGTTGTTCTAACCTGTTAGACTTATTTATTTTGATGATTTATTTAATTATGTTTTAATTTATTTGAAAGAGAAAAATAGAATCCAAAATTTATTTTGATGATTTATTTAATTATATTTTAATCAAAATTTATTTTGATAATTTATTTGAAAGAGAAAAATAGAATCAAAATTTATTTTGTCCCATTATTTCTCACATAAACCTTTATCCTAAATGTTGTTAGAATGTATTTAATATTTGATTAAATCAGGAATTCAAACAGCCCAAAACAAAGGTTCAAACAGCCTAGCACAACAACAGGCCAAAAAGTTCAATAGGTTCAAGTGGAAGATATTCAAATTTGTAATGATGGAGTGGAAGATATTCAAATTGATAATGATAGAAGTACAACGGCTATAAACAGTTATAAATTCAAATGACTACAACTGCAATAAACGGCTATAAATTCAAATGAACACAACGGCTATAAACGGCTATAATTTTCATTATATACACCAAAGCCTCTAATGTAAACAAATTACAAAAAAAACCTGAAAATATTCTTTGATCTATAATTACTCACATCTATTCTCAGAAATTATACATTGAGTCTTATAGCTTTAAGCCCATCTTTCCTGTGTAAGATTTATAGAAAAATCAAAATTTCGTTTTATATATCTATCTTTGAGAGATATTTATTGTAAGCTTTCTTTGAAAGCAAAAATATCATTTTATCTTGTAAAAGTGTTGCAAACACTATGTTCTTGAAATCTTGAGAGTGATTGTGAATCACTTAAGATTTGTAAGGGTTTGGGCTTGTGAAGTCTGTGTAAAATCCGTGGAGGATTGCTCCATTTTTAAAGAGGTTTCTAGCACCCCTATGAAGCTAGAAGATAGTGAAAAATCTCAAGTGAAGCTTGAGAAGTGGATGTAGACCGAGTTGAAACCGAACCACTATAAAATTGTTTGTCTCTCTCTCCCTTATCTCTTTATTTTATTTTAAATTGCCATAGCTATATTTTACATTTTTACTGTGCTAAAATCATTAACTGACATAGTTGTTAAGACACTTGTTTTAATTATTTTTATTTCATTAATTATATTTATCTATTGTGCTAGTCATAATTTTTATTAGAGTATTATTAATTTTAATTGTAAAAACTTAATTCACCCCCTCATTTTAGGTTGTCTTTTGGGTAACATAACCGTTAGTACCAAGTCTCCTTTTTTAAAGAACGAAGCCTCACTCTTTTATTGAATGCATTTGCCATCCTTTGTTGGTAGATCTCCAAGTTCTGTTGAGCATACAACCTTCTTTCATCAAGAGTCTCGAGCTCAGCCAACCTCACTCTTGCATTTTCATCTTCTGTTAAGGACTCTTGTATTGCCACTCGTAATGATGGTATTTGAACCTCAAGTGGTAACACTTCTTCTCCTCCAAAAACCAACGAATAAGGAGTTGTTTGAGTAGGAGTTATGTGCGAAGTCCGATAAGCCCACAAAGCTTCTTGTAACTTTTCGTGCCAAGTTCTTTTGTTCTTATCCACCATCTTCTTGAGAATTTTGCACAATATCTTGTTGAAAGCTTCTGTCAAACCATTGGCAGGTGCATGATATCTTGATGAATGGTTGTTTTTGATTTTGTACTTGGCAAATAACTTGTTCAAAGCATCACTCCTAAACGACTGTCCATTATCCATGATGACACTTTATGGAATCCCAAACCTGTAAATGATATGGGTTCGGATGAACTGGGAGACAGCTGTGCTTTTTATATCCTTTAAAGCCACAGCCTCTGCCCATTTTGAGAAATAGTCAGTAGCAGCTAGGATGTATCGATATCCTGCTGAAGATGGAGGTACAAAAGGACCAATAATGTCCATGTCCATACCCCATGTTGCAAATGGCCAAGAACAAGTTGTTAAATGTAAAGGCTCTAGGGGTTAGTGGAGAAAGTTCCCATGGAATTGGCAGACTTGGCATCTTCGAGCATAATCTATGCAATCTGCAATCATAGTCGGCTAATAGTATCCGAACCGTTTTAGCTGCATATGTAAGTTAGGACCACTTTGGTGTGTCCCACATACAACTACGTGTATTTCTGCCATTACCTCTTGAATACGCTCCTTAGCTATACACCGCATGTACATTCCATCCAAAGACCTTTTGTATAACCTATCTTTCCACAGGACGAATTTGGTAGCCCTACGTCTCACTTCAATTCTTTTTACTTTATCTTCAGGTAGCCTACCATGTTGAAGGTAAGCTATGAATGGTTCCTGCCAATCCTCATCGCTTTCTCCTTTCGTGGTAACGACCAAGATTGGAACCAAGTCAGAAACCTCTTTTAAAGGTTGTAACACTTTTCTTTCGCCTACTGTGATAGTAATTGTTTTGCTATCTGGTAGGGTGAGTGATGCAGCCAAACTTGCTAGTGAATCCGCTCGATTGTTTATTCTTTTCTTCACGTGAAAAATATGTGTTTTCCAGAATTGCGAAAACAATTGATCAGCCCTTTTATGATACGAGATGAGACTTGTTTTCATAACAATGTATTCTCCATGGAGTTGCTTTACCATCAGTTTTGAATCTCCATAAATTGAGAGTCCTTCAATAGGAATTTGTAATGCCAATTCTAATCCAGCAATTATAGCTTTATATTCTGCCTTATTATTGGAGCATCTTTCACTTAAGGCAAAAGAATGGGTGATTATAGCATTGTCTAGAGTCACAAACACAATTCCAATTCCAGCTTTATTGTTTTTAGGATTTTCTTGCTTCTTGCCATCTGGACTCCTTGAAGCTCCATCGAAATACACCTTCCATCCTTTCTGGATTTCTACTTGCATAACCTCTTTATCTGGTAAATCAATTACTAGAGGTGAGTCATTAGGTATAGGATGTGCTACCAAAATATCTGCTAGAGCCTGCCCCTTTACAGCTTTTTGGGGAACATATTCGATTGCGAATTGTTGGAGAATTACAGCCCACTTTGTAATTTTTCCTGAAAGTATATATTTCAAGGGGTCTGCTCTTGATATCAACTTGACTTTGCATTCCAGGACATAGTGCTTTAGTTTTTGCAAGGCGAACACCAAGGCAAGACATGTCTTTTCGACAGGAGAATGATTGACTTCTGTCTCAACCAGAGTACGACTCAAATAATACAAGGCATTTTCTTTCCCATGCTCATTGTGTTGTGCCAACAGTGCCCCTAACGAACCATCCAGGTTTGTTGTGTACAACAAGAGTGGTTTCCCTTTTATTGGGCTCACGAGTACTGGATGCTTCAAAAGATACTCCTTAATACTATTAAAAGCATTTTGGCACTGCTGATCCCATTCAAATGGAACACCTTTTTTCATCAATCTTGAGAATGGCAAGCATCGACCAACCAAGTTAGAAATAAATCTTCTAATAAAGGCCAATCTCCCTTATAGCCCCTTCAATTCCCTTAAATTTCGCAGAGGAGGCATTTCAACAATGGCTTTAATCTTGGTAGGGTCAATTTCAATCCCTTTGTTTCGAACCACAAACCCTAGAAATTTTCCTAAGGAAACTCCAAATGCACATTTTAGTGGGTTCATTTTGAGTTTGTATCTCCTCAAACGTTCGAAGATTCTTCTCAAATCTTCCACATGGTTTTCTTTTTCCTTGTCTTGACGATAAGATCATCAACATAGCATTCGATGGTGTCATGGAGCATATCACCAAAAATTACAATCATCGCCCTTTGATACGTGGCCCCAGCATTTTTCAGGCCAAAGGGCATTACCTTATAGCAAAAGACTTCTCTCGGAGTCTTGAATGCAGTCATTTCCTCATCTTCAAGTGCCATTCGGATTTGATTGTATCTTGAGTATCCATCCATAAAAGACAAGGTTTCATACCCAGTAGTTTCATCTACAAGAAGTTCAGTGATAGGCAAGGGAAAGTCATCGTTAGGACAAGCCTCATTGAGATTACGAAAATCAATGCAAACCCTGATTTGACCATTCTTTTTCTTGACCGGCACTATGTTTGCTAGCCAAGTTAGATATTTGACTTCCCTGATGAATCCTGCATTGATAAGCTTGTTGACTTCAGCTTCAATTTGGGTTGTAAGCTCTGGTCGAGTTCGCCTGTGAGGCTATTTAGCTGGCTGTTTCTCAGGGTGAATTGCAAGCTTATAGACTGCAATCTCTGGATTAAGACCAGACATCTCACTGTAGCTCCACGCGAATATGTCACGATACTCCCTTAAGAAGGAAATATATTACTGAGTTTCTTTTTCCTTTAAATTTTCACTAATGAAGGTTGGTTTATTTTCTCCTTCATCACCCAGATTTACCTCATGAAGGTCATCCACAGTAGCTTGGCCTTCTGCTTCAAATTCTGTTAGTGCAGGTTGACCTTCATTTTGCTCAACATCTTCTAACACATCTTAAGTGATAGTCATGTTTACTAAAAATTTTTCCTCATCCCCCCTATAGCCTAACCTTTCTGTCCTGGCAGTGATAATATCGCCTTACTGGATAGCCTGCCTCTGCGAAGGTGTTAATGCAAAGTCAAAAGTTGTCATTGTTCCTGGTATTTTTTCAGGATCTAAACCAACTTTTACCAATATCTGTATAATTTCTACACTGAAGATAGGCTTCTCAAAACTCGAGATGTTTTCTTCTGGCACTTGTTCAACTTTTACTTTCTGTTCAACATCTCGAAGTGAGTGGAATATGATGGGTTTCAACCCTTTTCTTTTAGGAGAGACCACAATCTTATTATATTTCTCCACATAGATGCATTATGTCCTCCTTAATGGCAATGTGAACTCACCCTTGAGATCCAAAGTTGGATTTATTGGGGCTAGAGCCTTTGCCCCGGCTTCCTTTCAGACTTTGGCACATATCGAAAAGTTCTTTTTGTTAAAATTGGAGTAAACTCTAAAGCATCTTTGACATTCAGAGTATCTTTAGACTTTTTCATATCTTTTCCCTTTCTTTGTGAAGTCTTTGTATAGAAGCGAGCATCAGCATAATAGGCCTCTACTTCTCCAAATGGATCATTGTTAGCCACAATTGCCCCTCTTTTCTGGGTGAAGGCAACGGGTACTTGATACATTGGTGATAAGTTGATGGTACTGCATGATGATTATGCATCCATGGTCTACCATGCAAAGCATTGTAGGAGGTGTCTACATCAATGACCAAAAACTTAATGCTTTCTTCAATATCCTCAAACTTGGTTCGCAATTCAATCTTTCCCATTAGGCATTGTTCATTCTGATTAAATCCTTGAATGACTTAGACGACTTGGGCGCAGTTGTGAAATTCGAATCCCTAATAGGTTTAAGGCCCTTCGAGACAGGCGGTTTACCGCAGATCCTCCATCAACCAAAATTCAAGAAATTTTCACATCATGGATAAGCCCAGTGATAAACAAAGGCCGATTATGGTCTGCCATTTCAGCACACATGTCATTGTCATCAAAGGTTACCATAGCCATGCATGTAGTTGTCTTCTCTTGATTTCTATCCTCGATTTTTTTGTGGAAATCCTCTGGCTTGGACAGGGCATATATTAAAGACTTTCGAAGCTCTGAAGACATTTTCAGTGCATCATATACGCTCAACAATGCTGGAATTTTCTTTAGATGAGTTATTATATCATATTTCAATTGCTCTTCCTCCAGCAAAACCTGTGGAACTTCTGACATTTGAGGGTCCTGAGGATTTCGTAATTTCCTCTGGTAGGTCAAGTAAGTCTGGCATACTTCAATAACTGCCTTTCCGTTGACCTCAACTTTTTTTGTTCCCTCACTTATTTGGACCATGTTAACTGGTCCAGCTGCAGGGTGATCATCATCATCAGTCACTTCTCCATCTTCTTGGAGCTACATTCTTCTCCCATTTCTTAGGTACCGGGAGTCACGCCTATAAAAGCATTGGGATTCTACAAAACCGTTCTTCATGGCTTCCCAACAAGGCACCACGACCCCTTCGAGGGAGCAATACTAGTCAAAGGCAATCCCCTCCAAAGAAAGGGGGAATTATTTTAGGCAAAGTGCTTGATTCTGGGCTATTTGCCCACACTGTTTCAAAAAATGCCTAATATGTTTTTGAGGATCTCCACACCCCTCATATAGGACAAAATTCAGAAGTTCGTATCCTTCAGGAAATGATGTTTCCTCTACCCATAAAGGGAACAAATCCCTTGGGCGATAAGTGCCCATCTCTCGAAGATCCAGGGTAGTTTCAATCTCCTCCTCAATTGTGCCTTCTATGAAATCATATGTTTGAGAAGATGTGCCCCCGTCCTCCAAATGTTCTGACATCTCAATTTCTATTGGCCATGGTTTATAAAATGTCCTATAGAATCGATCAGCTATGGTATCCCAATCTAGGATTGAATTAGGTGGCAGGTTGAAGTACCAATCTACTGCCCACCCTTCAAAGAAAGAACAAATTACTATAGAAGTAATGCCTGGCTTTTTACTGTGTTTCCACATCGTGCAAGTAAACGAACCAAATGGCGCCTTGGACAACTTATCCCATTATATAAAGGAAAACGAGGTACTGTATATCCTCGTGGGAAATGAACCCATTCGACCTAATTAGAGAAAGGGTGTCCAGAAATTTGATTTCTTTCAATAACCAAACTTTGATGGGCTTCAAAACCCTCATCTTTCAAAGAGACTGTTACTTTTACCTGATGTTCCACTTTCCTTCTAGCTTCAATTTTTTCTTTCTCATAATCACTTGGAAATCGAATGATATGTATTTCTCGCTCTTCAAAATTTACATCCGTAGTGATGACATTACAAGGAAAGTCAAAATGGTCACTTGATACACTTTCTCCATCATATGTCTTGGCGAGAGATGTGTATGGTGAACTATCAAAAGAAAAGTCAAGTTCCCAATCTTTATTAGGATCCTCAATTTGAGATGACTTTGAATGCTTCCATACTTCATCATCTGACCTGCACCTGCCATTTACCTCATCATCCTTGAAGTGTAGTCATTTTTTCTCTTTTTTCACAAGCTCAGAGTCGAACCTACACCCAGTGTCTCCTTGTTCTGTTCCTCTTACATATTCTGCAATGCTTCGATAGTACATCGGTGGTACTGGCGAATACTTTGGAGAAAAGGCTTCTAGTGTGTACTTTAGAGAAGCTGGTGTATACTCTGGAGAGTCAGGTACACAGATAGGAGATGTAATGCAATCTCCTTCTCTAACTTTTGAACCAACTTCACCATCATCTTCCTCATCATCACTCAAAACAATGATGGTTAGGCAAGGGGCTAAATTAAACTTTTTCTCCCTCCTTTTATCAAAGTATGTCTGCAACTTCACAGATTGAAATTTTGAAGGCAGAAATTCCTCCAATGTGACTAGAACAAGGGGACATTGCTCTAACCGCTCATTAGGGACCAATTTCTCTCATTTTTCCTTCTTTGGGTTCTTCTTTCCTTTTCTCTTACTTACTTTGGCTTTTTTCTGTTTCCTGAAAACTTTTGGTTTTTTCTTTTTGGAAACTTTTGGCCCTTATGTTGTTGAAACAACCACATTTGTAGCTTTCACTGTGGTATTTTATTTTTTTCTTCATGCTTTTTGACTGATAAAAAACCCATTCACCTTTATTATCCTTGTCGATAGTGATTGGGTTAGCAGATGCTTTCTCTTGAAGAGGGAGCTCGATAATCTTAGAGTCTAAAAGGTCTTGAATTTTATCTTTCAGAACAAAGTACTCTTTTATCGGATGGCTAATCAAACGATGGTAGGGGCAATACTTTGGATCGTTCAATTTTCCTACCTCATGTGGTCTTTTCACCTCAAGAAGAGCAATCAACTTTTGTTCCAACAGATCTTCAAATAAGTCCTCGACCAGATCATTCGTGAAAGGATATTTCTTCTCCAACCTCTCTTTCATAGTCACCTTTTTAAATTCCTTGAGCTTTTTAGCCTCTACTACAACGGGACCCTTATTTCTAGTTTCAATTATAGCTACAGTCAAGGACTCAACCTTTTCAATGGCCCTAGGCCTCCTTCGTTTAGCTAGATGCAGCGCCATATCATGAGCTTTAGTGTATAAATCGTTGAATCCTTCAAAAGTTTGAGCCATAAAAGCCGTAGAGAGCTCATGTCGGAAGTTGTTAAGGCACATCCGAATTAACTCTAATTGCTTAAACTTTTGAGGACAGGCAAATGTCAAAGCTCGCCATTTTGCAATGAAATTTGTAACAGACTCATTGTCACGTTGCTTGGTCTCAATCAGTTCTGGTACTCCAACTCGCCTTTGTGTGTTGTAGAACTGTTTAAGGAACTCCTTCACCATGGAATCCCAATTTGGGATTGATCCCTTGGGAAGATTAGTATACCAAGTAAATGCA